GCTGGGCTGGATGTCAGCGGCATGTCGCCGACAGCCAGCAGCAGGGAGTATGCGAGGTCGCCGTGGCGGCATGAAGAGATGCCTGAGAGCATGTTGACGGCCGCAGCCGGCTCACCTCATTGTCACATAGCCAGGCTGGTCAAGCAAAAGATCTGCGCTTTCGTAGATGGTATTCTTGCATTAATCATTACTATCATACCACATGTTCATGCTGTCACCTGCAGCCTAGCAAACTCTAGCAAAGCATCCGTTTCCACAAGATGTGCAAGACGTCGGAGATGTGCCATCGCTCCAGCGTCTTGCAGCAGCTGGAAACTTGGGCGTGGCCTGGCGCAAGTGAGCACTGCTTTGCAAGACCACGATGCAGTGATGGTTCGGCTTGTGTTCTGAGATGTCTGAGACAATTCCCCCACTCTGTCCAGCTCCTTTTCGTGCGGAAGTTGGCGCTGGAGCTATCTGAGCAGGTGGATGGGGCAGGCGATGCCTCGTTCAGGCGGTCTGCTGCAGTTGTTTGCTAGCCTGAACTTTTGTTGCATTCCCCTCGCCTGGATTTTGCCTCGAATATCGATAGGCGCATGCCTAACGGCCTAACGTTGGGATGTGAGAAGGTGACAATAAGCTCAAGCGGCTGCAGACCCAGGCTTGCATATGTCGGTGTCGCCGGAGGAAAACTATTCAGTGACCTCAGGCCAAAACTGTCCCATGTCAAAGACATCTGATGTCGCAGTTTGCCACGAGCCAAGGCTAGCATCTGGTTACAAACCACTGGAAGAGTCAAACCACATCGTAAGCTCTGAGACCAGTGCTCACTGTTTTCCGTGGCAATGCCCACCACGGCAGCAGGCTGCCGTGGCCGCGCATTGCAATCTGAAGCGTGGCACCTTAGTGGCAAGTGTCAGGCACATGCAGGCGCAGGACACAGATGCGACAAACGGAGCAGACAAGCGAGCTCACACCTGAACCAAAGGTACGATTCCTTTCTGCTGCAATGGCTTTAGAACAAGGTCCCAGACCCTCCAACCACGGCAATGCTTCGAGCGAGGTCTTGGAGTTGGAGACTGGGTCGTTTGATGCAAAAGGCTGAGGCCCCGCGAGAATGTCCGTGAACGCCCGGCCTTTCGGGATGCTTGGAAGCCCAGAGACGCTGTCCAGGTCTTTGGCCCGTTCGAGCTTCCACAGGAAGTGTTGCAACTTGGCATCCAACATAGAATGCAGGATGAGCACATGAAATGGGCTCCTCGAGCAAGCAAGTCTTGAGGCTCAATCTCTTGCCGTACCTTTCTGCGCCCTGTCTGTAAGACTAGCGAAATGGCTTCATCCTCAAGTAGGAGAACCCGAAAATGGGGCACCTGGACCTGCCCGAAGGTGGATGACCTCATGGAGTTCCTGCGAGACGAGAAGTCCCAGGGCAGGGAGCTTTGTCCAGTTCTACCTTTGCCAAGCCCGTGTGTTATCCATTGCATAGAAGCAGGAAGTGCGCTATCGCGCAACCTGAGGTCTTGATACAGCACCTGTCCGACATGGGCAGGTTGGACAGGCGCGGTTTGGTGTGCAGCTCCCATGCGACACACAAAGAGTCGTGCACACGAGTGACAATGCGCAGGTCCGAGGCAATTGTCGAATTTTCTGCACAATGGAAGCAAGCTACTCGAGATCCCGACGCCTTCGAGGACGAAACGGCAGAGGATGGCGGGCAACGGAAGTTCTTCGAGTGTCTCTTGGCCGGTTACGAGCATGATGCACGGAAAAGCAACTCAAATCACCGAATGCATTTTGCTTCCCAGGCCGCTGGTGGTGCATGAGGCTGGCAAGCGCGGAGAAGATCCATTTCCCAGAAAGTGATGTCCGCGACATCGTCAGCGCGAACCTTCGAGCTCTCTTCGTGCACTGCTGCGACGTGGATGTTTCTGTGAGGACTCATGCTCACTTTGTTGTTGGCAACCATGGGTGTGGTGGCCTTCCGTATGTGCAGCAAATGATCGCCGAAGCCATGCTTGAGCAGATGGAAGACCTGCTACCGGAGGCCACCAAAATCAGCAAAGAGGCCTTGGAGCAGGCAATGCAGTGCGCAGGGCATCTTGATGAGACTCTGCGTGCACTGACGAAGCCTCAGCGTCAGAAGTGGGTGTCCCTGCTGGTCAGAGCCCTCAAAATTGAGGAGGGTCAGGCCCAATTCCAGGAGACATTGTTTTCTGACCTGAAGCTCCTGTGGCGAGTTGATGACGATCCCAGACGAACCTATGCCGAAGCAGAGCAGCAACTGAAGGCTTTCTCAAGGCATGCCAGCAGATATTTGCAGAACGAGATTTGGAGGCTCTACAGCTGCTGAAGCCTGTTTCACCCAGTTAAACGCCCAACGACGGCGTATACTTCTATCGGAGCCAGTTCAAGGAAACCTGCGAAGAACTTTCACGCGCTCAAAACGCTCAGTCGCCAAACAGCTAATTTGTTTTGGTCTCCCACTACGCCTGAGACCACGCCTGGATCGTCCGAGGTGTGAGAGTTTAAAGCCACCTCTCGATTGTTCCTTCGCACTCAGCAAAGGCAAAGTCCAATGTTGAAGATCAAATTTCTGAAATCGACCTTTCCTGCATACACAGCGCAACGCAGCGAACACGACTCCATGAAGGCAGCAGTGTGCCCGGAACTTCACGACCTGCAGTCTTCTCAATGCCGTTCCAGTTATAAGAACAATTAGACGAACCCTTTTAATATAGGAGTCCTTACAACAAAAACTAGAGGAGCCCTATATAATATAGGAACCCTTGCAACAAAAGAAGCTAGAGGAGCCCTTATGGCAAGGAAGGGCCCTAAACCCTAAACCAAACCCTAAACCCTAAACCCTAAACCTGGATTGTCCGAGTGTGAGAGCCGAAACCCTAAACCCTAAACCCTATAAACCCTAAACCCGAAAAGGGCCCGCGACTTCGCGGCTCCAGGCCCTTTGCCTTCCGCTGCGCCCCGGCGGCCCAGCGGAAGGCGCCGACGCCGACTCCCAGCTCCCGGGTGCCTCGGGCGCAGAGCCAGGGTTTCTTGGAGTTGGGGGTTTAGGGTTTCTAGGTTTGGGTCTGGGGTTTCTGGGTTTGGGGTTTCTCGAAGTTTGGGGGTTTGGGGTTTTGGGTGTTGGGTTTCGAGTTTGAGGGCAGCTTGAGGGCTTTAAGCTTGAAGGGTTCAGGACATATCAGGGTTGAGGAGCAGTTCAAGGGTTTTGAGTGTTTAGGATTCAGGGTTTGCGGGTTAGAGATCTACGGCTCAGGGTGTGAGATTGAGCTTCGGGTTTTAGATTGAGGTTTAAAGGTCGAGGGTTGGGGATCTGACATGCGAGCCTGAGGCAACAAGGGTTCCAGATCTAAAGGGTGGGTATCCATTGTTCAAGATTTCAAAGGGCTTCCTTCGGATTCCGGCTTGAGGATCACGGACGGGTGGAGGGTCGAGTCTTGCAGATTTCGGATCTGCAGGGTTTAGCATGCAGGGCTTTGGGACGTGGGATGGGACAACAGCCTCCTAGCTCAGTCGCAGGATAAGACTGCTTGGCAGCAGCCCTGCTTGCATGCTTTTACTTTTTAAGTGAGGAATTTAGATCGTTTGAGGTCCAAGAAGAATCGTAGGATTTGTCGTCAAGTGTGCTGGCATGAGCAGAGTCCATTGCTTCAAAAACTGTGGATTGGAAGCGGCTTCACTTAGTGACTGAGCCAGGCATCGACAGCCTCCACCGCGGTAGCTGACGCCCTCCTTGGCCATCTCGACTCAGATGGGTCTGAGATTGACGACTAGTTTCCATCCCAACCGACAGTCTTCTTGCCTGCTTTGTGCGAGAGTGAGAGTCGAAATCCAGAGACCAGGAACAGCGCATAACGATACCTTTAGATGTCCCTAACACGTTGATGCCATGTTGGGCAACTCGTCGTTTCAAGAGCTGCCGATGCGAATCTGGGGAACCTGAGCCCCAAATCCTACGCTCCAGAGGGTTCAAGTCTTATCCGGACTAGTGCCACGTCGCTTTTCCGAGTTGTAGCTTTCGGAAACTTGATGGATTCGTGTCTTTTTTTTTTGGGGTGGGGGGGAGTACATGCTGATCGACTGTGGATTGCTTGGTGCAAACGTGGTTCCGACCGAGATTTCTCCACGGGTACAGCATGGTCCTGCGGCTGGTTTCGCACGTTTGCACTCCTCTTCGCCCCCTCGGGTAGGCTATAACCCTACACTCTAAACCCCAACATGCATGTCATTGTCATGTTCAAGCAGCAATGCCCTACTCATGAATCCGTGCTTGCCCCGTGCGAGCGAGTCGAAACCTAAGCATGGACAAGTCCAAGGAGAGCTGAGCAAGTCTATAACTTTATAACCGAGGTGGCCGAAGGTTCCCCAGACCTTGCGTGTAGGATGGACGCTGGGCAGCCACAGCAAAAAACAAAAAGGAGTTTTTGTCACCCTTATCTTGAAACTTGTGTGCAGAACCCCGGGCAGCGTAACGAAGGCGGTTTTTCGAGAGTTGTTCGGGTGTCAAGATTCTAGATTCTAGATCTCTCCCGCTTCGATTTGAGCACTCAGCTTAAATGCCTCACCCGCCACACGCCTAAATTCCAAGGCGTTGTGCATCCAAACCTGAGCCCTCAAGCAACCTCCAACCCCAAGTGGCAATGCGGTCAAGGCCAGCAACCCTTGAAGCGACAACGTAGTGTATTGCACAGGATTGGAACATTGCCCGGAGTGGTTTAATTGCAATACCAGATATTCGGATGTGCCACATGTCAGGGTGCAGTATTCGTATTTAGGGCATGGCATGGCAGATAAGGACGTGCGGCAGAAAATCCACACGCAGAGCGCAGAATAAGACATGGAGCACAACATGAAGGAACAGGACCAGAATAATATCGTGGAGCACGACAAATCAACACAGAAGTACAGCAGAGCGAGCATGAGCTGAAGGCAGCCTAAGCCCGGAGCTCTAAGCGCAAACCTACATGGTACCGTAATGAAGGCACCTCAGTAGATGGCAGGAAGCTCCTCCAGCCTCTCCGCGCCAGGTGGGGGTGCAGGATGAGGGGTTTGGGCTTCAGGGAAAGGGCCCCTTAATAATTAGAATAGGGTTTTGGGGCCCATTATACTATAGTTATAAAAAGGAACCCCCAAAATAGTTTAGGTAATTATTTATGCCCCTATATTAAAAGGGTTTTCTTTTAGAGCCGAGACCCTGAGCTCTCGCGGCCCCTGGTGGTCACGGAGCAGTATAGAGGCCTAAAGAATTGCCTGTACTATTTGGGGGTTTCTTATTATAATTATAGTAGAATATACCTCCAACCCTTCTTCTAATTATAAAGGCCCCTACGTTAGTAGGGTGGCTTGCGGGGTGGTCATCAGGTGAAAGCTGTTCTGCATGTTTGGGGTGAAGCTCAAGCATTTTCAGGGTTTGCCTTGCCGGCTAGGGCCTGCAAGAAGCAGCTTCAGGTAAGGTGGGTTGGGACACAGAAACAGCAGCCTGGCTCGTGTCGGGCTGGCCCTTCCGATGCCAGAATATCCAATTCGCCCCCTTCTAGACTGAAAGCCGCAAGCACACTACCGTAGCATACCCAAGCTTCAGAAATTGATTGGGCTGTGTGAAGAAGGGCAGAGGGGTGGAAGCAGAAAGAAGCAAAGGTGTGCGAACAAGCCAATGATGTAGTCACGTAGTCTTGAGTGTAGAATAGCTGATAAGCGAATGCAATTGTTGGCAGGACCCGACCAATTCGCGCAAGGCGTGCCGAGGGTCGTGTGCGTTCGGGGTTCAAGATTGGGGGGCGAGGTTGGCTGACTGGCTGACTTGCAGTACAAAAAACGGGCGAGACCCCATGGTGAGGTCAGAGTTCTGGGTTCGAACGGGCTTACAGCTCGGGATTGAGCAAGCTCAAACAGCGCCGTACAGTCAAGAGCTCCGGACCACTTGGAGCAACCGGTACTCTAAGCCCTAAGCCCTAAGCCCCATTATTCCTTAAGGGACAGTGCGCCCGGTCTCCGCCTGATGTTCCTTGCGCACCTCGGGTTTTTGGGTATACACTCCATAGCATGGCCCCAGCAGGAGAAGTCCAAGATGAGCATCATCTTGCCAGAGACGCTCGAGGTAGACATCGTGTCCTGGCGCCAAGCGAAGCCTCTTGCAGCCAAAGGCGGTTTAGATGAACCACGAGAAATGGAAGATTAATGAGGTGGAAGCAGGCGGAGAAGGTGTGTTGGGCCACAAGCATTCTCAGCCAGAGCCGAGGTAGAAGTTGTGACTTTTCCGCAATTGGCGAGGTTTGTTCCGAGTTCGGGGTTCACGGACTTCGGGCTTGTGTAAGATCAGGTCTCGAGGTTTGCAGTTTATTTGGGTTCGGGTCTTGGCATGGTTTGCAGTTCTTGCGCTGTTGGCTCTGACCGAGGCCACCCCGGTTAACATCAAGGGACTTGCGCCGGGATCACCGTCACCACTGGATGCGGAAGCTCGGCTGAGGAGGATGAGTTCAAGGAGTGAAGGGTTCAAGTTTCCGAGCCGTGGGATTGGAAGTACTTTTTCGAACCAGAGGATGTCCTGTCGAGTGTGGCAGTGAACAGGAGTAGGTTTCCTTTTCTTTTTTGTGGCTCCCGTCCTTGTTTCTGATTCGTATTTTCAGAAGGAGTCAGTTCCACGCACCAGATGCATAGCGAAGCACAGAGACATATAGAACGACATGGAGAGGTTTGCACGACACAGCGCGATGCAGTATGCACACTCTCATTTCACCGCAGCATGCGTCAGGGCCTGTATCCTGTGTTATCCTGTGCCCGAGGTGTCACCGGCAGCCAGGAGTACTATTACTACCCTCAGGCATGTGCACATCGCTGTGCTTGCGAGTTCTCCTTTTCAACCTGTGCAAGCAACGGCAACGGCTGTTTTGGCCTTAAGGCTGATCCGATTCCTTTGTAGGGTGTGATGCTTTGCTGCAGATCACCTCGCTGTCATCGAGTGGCGTTGATCGTCGTGAGAATTCAAAGCTAGCGATCGACGTGATCATTACAGCATATTTCAGCCATGATGACGTTGTCGAGGAGGCCGGCCATGTTTCTGAAGATGGCGATGACGCCCGCTGATGATAAAGGGTTATGGACGATGATTATGATTATGACTCATGACCATGATGGTGATGATCTTGGTCGCTGTGAAAACGCTGATGGGGGCGGGTGGTGGTGTGTTGTGGTGAAGAGGCACGTAATCTTCACTTGCACTGCCGTCACCTTTCCAGCCCTGCCACTACCAGGCAATACTGTATGAGGCCCTATGGGTTGCTCCGTTCTCGTCCTGTCGCATTCCAGTGTTGTTACTGTACCGGCTGTTACCGTATGAGAAGGGTTTTGGCGAAACCTTGCGGTAGGTCGCCGTTTGCAAGGGAGTAAGCACTTACTGCCACCCACCGCGAATATGTCTTTGCAGACCACTGATTACCCTCACGAAATGCCTTTGCATGACAATGCCCGGTTGTGGACTTGACAGAATTTCTCTTGCAGGCCCCGGGGATGCGGTGGGTTTCAGCCGGCCCTCGGGCAACGTGCGGGATTTGTTGTAGGGGGGGGTCGCAGCTGCACATGGCGTCGGGCACGCTCAATGTTATGCCTCTGTGGCATCTGAAAGCTTGCATATCCTTACTATGATCGAACAGGCTGGCCGATGATATCTCGCCTACAAACTCATCAAAGTCTTTGAAGTCTTTACGGTCCTTCCGCTCATCAACGAATCTGGGCATAGCGATGGGCAGTGAGGTGGGTGAGGGGGAATGAGAATGACAGAGTGCCCGCTTTTCTAGGACGTTTCTTCTGAGTTCAGCCGACCATTGTAAGCAGCATTTCTTACAAGGCCCTCCCTCCACCGCTGGACAGATTGAGAACCCGGCAGATGTGCGAGTTTCAGGAAAGAATGGCCCTGATGCAGAGCCAATTTTATATGGACCTTGAAAGAAAGGCCCTGCTTTCTAAAGCCCCTATCTGTAGCCTCAGAACCGCACCTCTGCCAAAGCAGGCGAACTGTTCATTAGACCCAGCCTATACGGGGTTTGGGGCCTTGTTTGCGGTCGTGAAAGTGATGATTACGATCCTATTGTGCAGGCTTTGATGGTCGTTCTGGGATGTAGCTTGCCCCTACACCCTAAAACTTACATGCTTTGGTCCCTTAGCAGATCCTAGGACCAAGCATGACTTGGAGAAGCTGGAGGCCAGATGGTAGTCTGGGTTCTGTTCTGTGTGCCGGTGTCGGAGCTTCAGGCAATTTTAGTATCTTCTAGTTCTTATTGACAAGTAACTTTTGATATAAGATTCCGCAGCCAAAACCCTATTCCCACATTTATGGCCCTGACAACAACTCCTCGATTCTTTTCAGGTGCCCATAGAACTTCGGCGAGGTTCTTCGGCCACTTGGCCTTAGCGCTGGAGTTGACGAAACTGCAGTGCAGCATTTGGGACGTGCGAGTCGGAGGTTTGGATCATCCGGAGTAGTAGCTGTGGAAGGAAGGTGAGGTGAGGGATGTTGTTGATATTGCTACTCTCATGCGCGCCCACCCTTCTGGTGAAGGATCTGTTGCTCATCGTTCCACAAAAGTTGTCATGGAGCTCAAGGTGCCCCAAGCTCCATTGCTTTACTTTAAGAGAAAGCTTTCAAGTCCAACTGATCGAAGTGCAGACTCCACGAGTCTTGAGGTGAAGGACTTGCAGGGCGGACTAGCCTCAGATTACGAGCTGGAGGACGAGTTGGGCCACGGGGGGACCAGTCCTCAGTTGTCCCAAAGGGAGACGCACAGAGAGGAGAAGCGCTTTCCTGCCGAGGGGGGCGCTTCTGAACGTCCCGTTGGCTGTCTTGATTTCTGAGGTTTGGGAGCGTCTTCATAGGGCGTGGCATCTCGGCCGTCAGATTCCATTCTCATGGGGCAACAGGAGGAGGATTCAGGATCAGTAGGTGTAATGCTGCAAGTAGGGAACCTGTGGGCGTGTGAGTGTCTTTGATGGATTGCGCCATCACTGTTTTTGCTGCCACCAATGTGGCTGCGACTCTGCCCTGTTTCTCGTAATAGCATTCCTGGCATGAAACGGGTAGTAGTGGGTGGAGGAGCAGCCGTGGCAGCAATTGCAGCACGACAGCGACGACGACGACAACCACTACTACGAACTTCCACGGAGCCTGCCACAAACTCCTACACAATGCCTTGTTACTACGCCACTTCTGCTTCTGCTACTACTACTACTACTACTACTACTACTACTACTACTAAGGGTCTCGGCTGGAGCCAAGCAACAGGTAGAGGAGTCTCACTGAGGTGCCATGGTAAGCTTTTTGCTGTAACAACTGTGCGCTTGTCTGTTTTTGA